GACTGGGGCTGCCACAAAGGTGCCCTCTGTGCCACAGGGACAATGTGCCCCTCGCCGCCCACGCCGGCTTTGGGAACGCCGGGAAGCTCCTTCCCCTCCCCTGCAAGGCCAGACCCCCCCGTCCATCCCTGTCCCTGCTGCTGGCACCAGTTGTCCCCTTGGAGGGGGACAGGCTGCACCTCAAACGCTCCAAGCAGCTGCCAGGGGGCCCTGCTCCCGCTGTCCCCATCCTTCCCGGCTGGAATGATTCCGAGCAGAGCCGCGCGGCGGCTGGAGGTGGTGAATCAATAACCAGGCAGCTGCCTGTTTTCCCCCCGCACCGTCTCGGGGGATGGATGGATGGGTGGACGGATGGATGGGTGGATGGAGAGCTCTGCGTGCTCGTGCGGCTTTGGGATCACATCCCCGATGCCCGGGGCTGGGATAAGAGTCGGCTTCCAAACTGGAACACCCCGAGGTGGGAGGCTGGGAGGATGATGAGGAAGCGTGACAGGCGGGAAGGCAGACAAAGAGCGGAGGGCCGGCCCTGCCGGGAGCCAGGCACCTGCTGCAGCCACGCGTCCCGGCACGGGCACGGCGCTGGAGCTCCAGTTCCTCCCCCGGAGCCCCATCCTGCTGGGGTTTGGGCTTCGCCTCCCTGCCAGCCCCTCTGCTCCAGCAGCTGGAAGCATTCCCCGCGGCCTCATCCCCTCCCTTTGTTCCCCCCGGCAGCTCCATCCCGTTTTCCGTGGCAGTGGGGTGTCCGTGCAGATTCTGAGCCCCCCAGGGCAGCTCAGAATTCCTTCCTTCCCACCAATTCCAAGCTTTTCATCCTCCCCGCACCCGTAGGATCCCACACACTGACGTGTCCCAGGACCCCGTGTACGGCTTGGGAACAACAAGGACTGGGGGTGGGTCACGGCCGGGCTGGGAGGTCTCACCGATCCCCCCCTCCCCGATTCCAAAGAGCAGGAGAGGAGCTGGAGGCGGCTTTTCCAGCGCCTGATCTCGCGGCTTTTCCGCCTGCCTGGGAAGGGAGGGGGGAGCGGGGAATGAAGACAGATGCAGATAATATCGCTGCCACCCCCCGGCCCCCGGGGGCTCGGCTACGATATCCATTATACATGGATTCGGGGAGGGAAGGGCTCCCGCAGAGCCGCCGGAGCGCGGGAGTAACGAGCAGAGCGACAGCGTGGAGAGGGGTGATGGACCCCCCCCGCTGCCACTGGGGGGTTTGGGGTGTGCGTGGGGCCAGCTCGGGCTTGGGGGGCAGGGGGCTGGGAGGTGCCAGGGGGAAGGTCCTTCATCCCTGGGGTGCCAGCCTGGCCGTGGTACAGGGATGCTCCGAGCCCATCCAGGAGCTCAGGGGGCCCTCCCAGCACCCCGACCCTTCCCGGTGTTCCCGGCTGCGGGAGGGAGGGAGAGGGTCACCTTGGGGGGAGTTAATGAGGTTTGAAGGGAAGCGACCGGTCGTGCCGGCGGATGCGGAGCCGGCGCGGTGGCCGAGGGATGGCACGGAACAGCTTCCCAGATCCCGGCCTTCCGAGGGGGTAACGGCGTCAGAATGCACCCGGGGGGGCTCTGGGTATCCATGGAAAGAGGTGTGACCCCTCTGGATGGGCCTGTGGGACACTGGTGGCTGCAGGGGGTGATGTGTCCTGTCCCCACTCCCCCACGGATGACCATCCCTGCTCTCCACGGACGACCATCCCCGTGTATTCCTGGAGGACACAGGCCCGGGATCAGGCTCTGCTGGAGGTTTTCCACTAGCCCCACCTGGATGACTCTCCTTCCTCCCCATGGATGACCATCCCTGTGTATCCCTGGAGGATGCAGCCCTGGGATCAGGCTCTGCTGGAGGTTTTCCACCAGCTCCACCTCCCCCAGGCACCTTCCCACCCCTGTGTCCCCAGTCCTCCCTCTTCCTCGGCCCTTCATTCCCTTCCTCTTCCTCTTCTCTCCTCCCTCTGAGCTGCCCTTCTCCATCTTTCCACGTGTTCCAACCTTCTTCTTTCTCCCCCAGCACTGCCAGTTCCCTGATTTGGGGGCTGTGGCATCCCCCCATCGCTGAGCTCCCTGCGGGAATTCTGTCCCCACAGTCCCAGATGGATCCCACGTGACATAACTGGGGGGCACTTCCCGGGGGGGGAACTGGAGCTGGGAAGCAGGCAGGGATCCGGTGGGATTGGGATGGGCTGCATGGAGGCTGCTCTCTCCTGTCCCTTGGGAGCCTCTGGCTCTCTGCCTTCCCTCTCTCCCGCTGTCACCCGAAGGGCTCGGGAATGATGGAGAGCCCAGGGGCGGGAGGCTAAGTGGTGACGGCGCGGAGCTGGTAGTGCCACTCGGGATGAGAGCCCAGCCTGCTCCTCCGTGCCCGCTGCTGGAGCCAGAACACGATTCTGTGCCTGGAAAAGCAGAGCTGGAGGCGCATCCAGCCCCAGATTCCTGGGGGCTCCATGGCTCATTTGGGGGCAGGGATTACATGGAACACCGGCCTCTCCGAGGGAAGAGCGGCACCCTGCTGGGAGCAGGGATTGGAATGGGGAAGGCGGTGGCTGGAAATCATGGGAGCAGAGGGAGTTTGGGTGTCGGGGTGCTCCTCGGGAAGAGGGACACGGTGGGGACTGAGAGGCAGAGAAACCACACAGCTCTCTCCGGAAATCCTCAGCCAAAAATAGCCCAGCACCGGGAAAGGAGCACATTCCCTTGCCAGATTCTCCCTCCATCCCCACTTCCTGCTCGCGGTGGCCATGGAGGGGGGACAGGTGGCACCAGAGCCGGAGGGAACAATCCTTGTCCATCAGCAGGTTGGGATAGGGAACGTGGTGCCATGCAGATGGAGCAGCGTGCTGTTTTGGGCTGGTGTTCCCGGTGTTCTGGGCTGGTGTTCCCGGTGTTCTGGGCCGGTGTTCCCGGTGTTTTGGGCCACTGTTCCCAGTGTTCTGGGCCGGTGTTCCTGGTGTTTTGGGCTGCTGTTCCCGGTGTTTTGGGCCGGTGTTCCCGGTGTTTTGGGCCGGTGCTCCCCGCAGACTGGGAATGGTGCCGGTGGGCTCTGCCGAGTGAAGCCCCCCGGGCCCGGCAGCTCGGCGTGGGGGAGGCAGAGCCGGAGGGATTGACAGCTCCGGGGGATGGCCAGATGGCTGGATGGAGAACAGATGTGTACGAGGGACGGATGGATGCCAAGATTGATGGATGTGTCGGAGAGGGGGACGCACGGATAGACAGACAGACGCACAGATGGAGACCAGACGGGTGTGCCCGCCCCTCTCACCCTGGGACGCCGCTCCTCTCCTGGAGCCTCATCCCGGGATCCTGCTGGGACAGCAGGATGGCCATGGGGCTCCTGATGATCCCTCGTGTCCACAGAGCCCCTGGGAGCATCTGGGTAGGTGCCACGTCCAGGCCCAGCCGTCCCAGCCCTTCACCGAGCCTGGACCAAAACATTCCCGAAAAGCCCATCGGGCTGTTCCCAGGGGTGGCAACAAAGCCTCACCTCCCTTCAGATTTTTCACATCCCACAGCCGCTCTGTGTCCACCCCTTCTCCCTCTACCTGCACCGAGGGCTTGGATTCCACCTGCCTGCTGTTCCCACCGGGATCCTGCCCTGTGCCCACCCTCCTCGCTCCTGGGATCCTGCACAGGAGCGAAAGCTGCAAATTCACAGCTTTTCAGCTGCATCCTAAAAATAAGAGGTTTGGGAAATATTGAGCAAATGAGTGGGAGGATGAGAAGAGGAGGAATTAATGGCCTGGTGCCAGGAAAGTGGCATCTGGGAAGCCCCGGCGTGACAACGTGGCCACCTCATTCCCAGTCTCGTGGCCACCTCATTCCCAGCCTCGTGGCCACCTCATTCCTGGCTTCATGGCCACCTCATTCCCGGCCTTGTGGCCACCTCATTCCCAGTCCTGTGGCCACCTCATTCCCAGTCTCATGGCCACCTCATTCCCAGTCTCGTGGTCCTCGATCCCAGCGGCATGAGGGGATGCCGATCCAGGCAGGATCCCTTCCCATCCACCATCCCGCTCCCAGCGCCCCCGTCTGGGCTCAGCGGCACATCCCGACCCTGGTGAAATACTGGGAGGGGGGGATGTGTCGCTAGCTTGGCACCTTCTCCCGCTCCCCTTTTCCCGGGAACGTGTTTCTGCTGCTGGTTTGGCAAGGCTGGATGCCCGTGTGGCAGCAGCTTGGCACATGGAGACGTTTTTCCGTGTGGAGCTGCCGGCTTTGATCGCCGCTTCCAGGGAGCTCAGCGGGAGCCGGGGCTGGGGAGGCTCCCACGGCTTTGATTCCTTCCCCGGGGGACTTTGCATCCATGGATTTCACCACTGGACATGGGAGGGTGGAGCTGGGATACCGAGAAGCTGCCAGGGAGATGCTCTATCCATAAAACCTGGGAATTTTGGGATCTGCACCCAAAAGCACAGCCCTGAGGGCCCGGACAACGACATCCCCATGGGACACCTGCGGAGAGGTCGGTTCCAGCCCTGGTGCTGCAGCTTTTTCCCACCGCTCATCCAAAGCCTTTGTCTCTCCATGAAGGTCTTTTCCAACCTCTCCATGCCGTGCAGGAGCTTTCAGTCAGGAGAGGATCTGGATCCCTCCCTGGATGCCCCTCAAGGGCTTTGGTGGGGGGTCACGGGGCAGCCCTTGGATGGGGTTGGGTGCTGGGATGGGCACAGGGACACAGGGAATCAGGGCAGGGAAAGGGCCGCAGACGTCTTGGATTGTGAGGGTCTCACCATCCTGGAGAGGAGTGTGCACGGGACCACCGAGAGCACAGAGACACTGGGATGCACGGGGACACTGGGATGCACAGGGACTCTGGGATGCGCAGGGACACTGGGATGCACAGGGACACTGGGATGCACGGAGACACTGGGATGCACAGGGACACTGGGATGCACAGGGACACTGGAATGCACGGGGACACTGAGATGCTCAAAGCCACCGAGATGCTCCGGGCCACCACGTTGCCCAGGGCCACACAAACCCGAAGCCATTGGATGCACAGGGCCACAGAGATGCTCAGAGCCACCAAAATTCCCAAAGCCACCGAGGTGCCCAGGACTGCCAAGATTCCCAAAGCCACCAAGATTCCCAAGGTCACCAAGGTACCCACAGCCACCGAGATGCTCAAAGCCACTGAGTCGAGGCTGGAGCTCCAGGAGGAGGATCTGGGAGTGGCTGGGACACCCCTGGGTGTCCCCAGCCCGTGCTGCCAGCACAGGGGTGCCCAGCTGTGCCACAGCCCCCCTCCCACCACCCCGGCACGTTCCCGATCCGTCGGCATTGGCGGCTCTTGCCTCCTCCGGGTGGATCTCTGGCTTACACACTGCTCCGGAGGGCTAATCCCTCTTGGATCTCGGCGCCTCTCCTTGTGCTGGGGTTGGGTTTGAAGTGTTTCCTCACACCCACAAAGGCCGGAGCTTGCTCCCGCTCTGGAGGCAGCTAATCCCGAGCCTGCGGGAGCAGCGGATAAAGAAGGACGGGTACCTGGCAGCAGGCTGGAATCACAGCCACCATCCTCAGCTCCCAAATATCTCCCGTCTCCCACTCCAAGGTGCAGGGTGTGGGCACGGGGGCGTGGGGGGGTCTCCTGCTTGGCCAAGAGGTGTGTGTGGGAAGGGATCCACTGTGGAGACCCTCTCCATGCATCCAGGACCCTCTTCCCGCGGCACCGTGCCCCTCTTTCCTGGAACAGGGAAACTCTCAGCACAGGGACTCTCTCCCTGCATCCAGAACCGTCTCCCCCTGGAACAGGGTGCCTCTCCCCCGGCACAGCCGGGTCCTGCTCCCGCAGCTCCACACAAATCCACCGCTGGAGAGCCGCGGCATTAGCGAGGCAGGTAATCCCCTCATCGATAACCGGCTGGAAAAGTGGAATTATATCCCTCAAGTGGCATTGAATCCTGATGAAAGAGCCGCAGGGACGTTCCACCTCCTTCCCAGCCTCCGCGGTGCTCTTCCAGCACGTGGGACGGGATAGGGAGACCCAACCCCTTGGAGGGGGACGTGGGATCTCCGTCTCATGGATACCCCCCTCGCTGTGCCAATGGGACGAGGCAGGACCAGCGAAGGGCAGGTGGGATTTGGGATTTGGGGGTGTGGACCCCCCAGTCCCACCCGGCCGTCTCCCTACTCCCGGCTGGATCGGCGCTGGCA